AACATTTTACAAAAGAGTAATACGTTGGTATAAAACACCAGCACAACTCAATTTATATTTTCCAAATTTAGATAAGGAGTGTTGGAGGTGTGGACAGGAAACAGGCACCTATGAACATATTTGGTGGTTCAGCCTAAAAATTAAAGTATATTGGCAACAGGTTATTGATGATATACTAAACGGGTATTACCCTTACCTTTTATTTTATCACCCTCTCAGGTATTGTTGGGTTGGCCTAACTCGTTTTTAGATATCACTAAGCAGAAACCTTTATGGTTCCCTCTAAATGAATTGAATGCCTTAATACCTACCCTTTGGAAAAAGACAATTGTACTAATTATGGCTCAATGGGTAGACAGAGTCGAGAACACAAGTGTGATGGAAGAATTACATTGGGGAGCAGATAATAAAAAACAAAGATATCTAAAAATATGGGAACCATGGATTACTTATTGGAACACTGGGAAAAGGGAAATAGGGGGGAGTACCACTACCTACTAAGGTTTGGAGAAATCAAAATGGGATTATAATTACTAATAAATTGGGATTATAGCCAACATAAAAAGTTAGAGATTGTTAATGAGGCACTATGAATGAATTTACAAGCACCACAGCTAAACTAGGTTTAAGTATGAGTGTTTCCTTTCCATTTTGGTTGGGACCTTTGATGGAGATCCACGATTTATGAACCACAATTTTTGACTATCGAGTTAGTTAAGGAGGAAGAATTAGACTAATTGAACAATGAAATGATCAAGATATTAATATACAGTTTAGAATATAACTTGAGTTAATTATTTACTTTTTGCTTTTATTTGTCATTTGTGGTTATATGCGATTGTTATTTCTCTCGTATATTACAAATTTTACACACAAATGAGATTATCATTTGTGAGTAATATGATGTGATGAAAATATTATGAATCAATCAAAAAATTGCATTTTTACCTTCAGAGATTGTAAAATTGTATAAAATAATAAAAATGTATAACTTGGGGAAACTGTGAGGAAAGCTCAAAGAAGAGTTTTTTTATTTTTATAATTCTTTATTTTTGCTTATCCTGCAGGTATACAATAAGATATGTGGAGCAGTTGATGACAAAACATAAGTAGAGGACATGTCAGAGTCATTAGAGAAAAACACATGCAGAACAAGGATTTTATGTTTTATGAACAAGAGGAATCTAAACTAGGAGTTAACTAGATGGTCTCCCTAGGCTGGGATAGGGAAAAAAACTTTAGGTATTTAGGAGGGGTTCAGTGCCCTTAGGAAGAGATACCCCCTTCTGTGAAGCAGTGCGGCACTATCGCACTGACATGGTTTGGCGCAAGTGGGAAACAAGTGTGGAGGAAGGAGTTTTCCAGGCTGAGGTGTAGGACCAGGTGCTTTGTGGGGTAGTGGGAAGGGGCTATGTGACTGTGACAAAGTGCCCTTCGCCAACCTTTTACCTTATGACTATGACTATGGCCACTGGGAAGTATTGCCATTTAAAAACACATTTTGGCTTATTGTATTTTGGAGACTGTTTCTGGCTCTTTTGTGTTTTCAGTACCGAATAAGGTCCACGTGGGTGGTAATCTTGTGGGAAAAAGTGTATAAAAGAAACAATACAGCCTCAGTTCATTCTGTTCCTGTTTGACCCTCAACACGTAGTCTTGTCTCGTGATTGGAGGGGAACTGCTCTAATTACACGGGGTATTGATATACTTTGTATACTCCCCTGAGCTCTAATCACTTAGCTCTTTTAAGAGCTGTTCCTGATACCCGCTCCTGAAGGAGGGGTCTTTGCCACACGGTCCTGGAGGACAGAGGCTGATCCAGGGTGGAAGGAAGACGGCGAGACTCCAGTTAAGCTACGGCGGTTGAGGGTCCGTCAACGGAAGGTACTCGGTCGGAGTACAGGTGATCCGTTACAGTGACCGTCAAAGATGAGCATTTTAACCATTGTGCACCCAATATTTCCAAATTACTTATTCCTGAAAATCTGGAGTGTCTAGAGTGTGTTGGCCATGGTGAATTTAATACTAAATCCTGCCGGCTTCTTCTCATAATTGCTGAGCTTGAGAAAACTAACAGGGGCTTGGATCTGATGGGTTTTTCTTGAGCTAGATTTATAAGCTGAGTCTTGTTTAAAAGCAATGGAGGGACTAGGGAAAATCATACATTTTCTGAATTGTCAGAAACAGTAACACGTTGAACCCGGGTGGGTAACAGCAGGGTACCTCTGCTGGATTAAATTAATCTTCAACTCAGCAGAAAAGGCCATAGCGCCATCCCAACTTTGAAAACCCATGATTTTATTTATTTTCAGTTCTTTTGAATGCTGGCAAATGAAAAACTGTTCATTCCAATAAACTGAACTGGATGGGAAAAAAATAAAGAAAAGAGATAATTTAAGGAGCAGAGAGGGGGCTATGTTTTTAGCTACCACAAGGCATATTTTCTTGCAGCCCTGTTAATTGAATGATCGCTGACACAAAGTCCATGGTTTGGGAATCAAGTTTCAATGTTGCTGAAAAAGGAAATTCATAAGAGCACTTTAGTTCTGACTTTTGGATCCTGACTCAACATTTTCCATAGAAATTGAGGGAGCAAGTATTAAATAACCCAATATTGTGACAACTCACTTATCTTTATCTCTATTCCAACAGCCTTACAAATGAAATAAAAAAAACATATCTTTTGATAAAATGTTTCTAAATCTATAGGTTTGCCAACGATTTGTTTTGTGTATATGTTTGTTTTTGTTAAAATGATTTAGTCAATTCTGGTCACTTATTGAGTATTTCATAGATATTTAAGATAAAACACAGCTGAAACACGGTAGGACCTAGGCCATGCTTAAAGATGGTAGGTAATTAAACCCGATCCTGGATAGAGAAAAGTTAACACAATGATAAAGTGCGGGTGATATTGCAGTCATTTGTTCTCAGTGCCAGATGTGCGCTTTGTCAAAGTAACAAAGAGTCTATAGATGCATGTCTACTAGAGATGCCTACTTGACTCCAAACAGTCATTTTGTTCCCTTGAACTACTTGGTATTTGCATTGTTTGGAGAAGGAATGTATATTCTGGCTTTCTTGGTGTATTCTCAAAATGTGGGCGAAAGCAATAGAGATGTGGATCGGGAGAAAGGGGGTGCCAAATTAATCTGTGCCTACAGGCTCCTGCATTGTACACCTGGCCCTGTATATGCTCACATTTCATTGCTACTTCTAGTTCTAGAGAATAAATATAAAATGAGGAGGGACTGGGAGATATGAAGATTAAAGACACGACCAAAAGTTTGCTTTTAATTTCTTTCTCTTGGGCACATTCTGAACTTTATTATAGATGTTTAACGTCTTCATTTTAAACTTAATTTATGACCCAATACCTGCACCTTTGATGCCCTCAAGTTACTGAGAACATTTCAGCATTTATGCTGTTAAGACAATTATCTTGGCTTTTTTTCACTTAAAGTCATCTGTCAGAGTTCCTTTGAAAAACTTGCAGATATTTCAGAGCTCAACTGCAAGGGATAGGTTGATTAATTAGCAGGAGCCCAGATGTGCGTGGCCAGGGATCCTTTTTTATTGTTTAGCTGTCCGAAAATGGCTTAACACAGAATGAAGAGACAGCGCCAAGGAACTCCAGGCACTATAACTACTTCAGCAAGATGAAATGGTTATAGTGACTACAGTGTCCCTTTAATTATTTAGAGCTCCCACCCACTGCTAATGGGTGAGGGATGGAAGGGGAGTACTATCAGGGTTATTCACCAAAGTGAGAAGTCCAAATGAATTCAATGAATTTTAAATGTAAGGCCAGAGCAGCTGTGGTGAAAGCAGAGCTGATTAAGAGAATTTTTAAAGTTCAGCTAGTTTGACCTAACGTTTACAATTCTGAATTTGAATTCACCTTTCCGTGTTAATGAAAAACCCTGTCGGCATTGTAACATGTTTATCTCTAAGTGTCATCCCCCATCCTTCCCGTTTTGCATCTGCCAATACGAATCCTGTTTAAGAACCTTATTTCAGGAGATTCACGCAGTGTCACCTTTTTATGGTCTTAGAGAAACTCCAGATTTTTCACCTCTGGCAAATCTATCTGGAATAGTTTGTGTTAGCAACATACGATCCATTAGAGTACCTTAACAGCTCAATGATAAACATAAGGTGATGGATTTCACAAACTGGGATTCAGTGAGCATTTAAAGTGAACTTATTTAAAGAGGAAGTGGAAATATATGAGTCAATGTACGCAATCTATTGTTATGAAGACGCCATTATGGAAGGTTACATTGCCATGATATGTCACAAGTAATATCACAATGCCTTCTTCACAGCAGTCTGGTAATTCTAAAAGTGCTCCTACAGTAAAAAATATATACGCACAATAAAACCTCTTTTATTTCTTTACAGCTCGACAGATGCTGAATCCTCAACGCTAAGATTCTACCGACAGCAAACTAACTGAAGTAGCGAAGAAGGATTTGTAGTCCCGGCTTAAACGCCATAACTGGGAGATGTTTTTAAAAAAAATATAAAACAGGATTAAATATTAAATAGGATGGAATGTAGGCAGACTAAGTAGAGACATTCTACGGGCTCATTAGTAGTGAATTGTAAAGAACAAGGGTGGATGCTTTTCACTAAACACTGCATTGTTTGAAATACAAATAAAAGTGCAACTTTTAAAGCAAGAAAATTCTGATTTGGAAAAATATCAACAGCTCAACTATAGCCCAAGCTTGGCTGTTATAGCCTGAGTTTGACATTTTGTTTTTCAATTTTCCAAAAGACAATTTGTGAACTTTAGGTCGAAATAATACAAATTGATTATTCATCCAAATTCTGAGTTTCCTGTCTGTATAATATGCCCTAGAAGTTGCAGTTTGTTTGCCAATTCTCCAAATGTCCTGATTAAGCAGATTAAACCATTGCAGTGACTCATAAGGTTGGAATCTCCACCTACCACGTCACAGTGTTTAGCATATAATGGAATGCATTGCTTGGGGGTTAAAACATTATAGTAAGTAGAAGGTTTTATGCACTGAACATTAAGTTTACAAATAATTAATTCTCTAAACTAAGCTATTTTTGTCTTAATTTTGCAAGCAGGTTTTCAATTCTACTCACTATTAATTTTCTTAAAGGGGCACTCCAGGCACCATACCATCCCCTAAATAAACAGTTTAACTCCCGAAAAATACAGCGAGCACGGGGGCCTCCTGGCACCATAAAAACTTCATTTCGATTTAGTTGTTCTGATGCAAAATTTGCCTAAACTTAACTTAAAGGGATGCTATAGTCCTAGGCACAGATTCCTGCATGTGACTTACACAGCCTTCTTAGAAATTCCCTGTACAGAGTCATCTAATGTTTATGCTTCCTTTATTCTAAATTCTGTTTAACCCCTTAAAAGACGGCGGGTGTGCTATGCTGTCCTTGGTGACCCAGCGAGCGGCATAGCACGTCCACGCCGTCCAGGGGACTTACCTGCTCGCCGGCGATCACACAGGTGGGACTGTTACAAAGTACCCTCTGTCTGCCACTTTGCTACAATGTTTCTGTTTATTTCCCCTGAATAAAACCACGAAAGTAATTCATCATGTCATTCGTATGAACGAATGACCGACCACCCAGCATATGGAGTGTGCTGCCTAGTAACCAGCCCGAAGCTGCAGTTTGCCTTGTTGACCTTTTTCACCTTGCACTAACCGAACAAACTGCAGGAGGAGTGTGCCCCTTATTAGCCGCCCAGAAGCTGTGGTTTGAGGTTAACCGCAGCTTGATTGTCGAAAGGCTAGGTGGTCATCGTTTGTATAAACAAACATGTGGCGGTTGCCATCTTTAACTGCCGAACGCCAAGTGGGGTTTTGTCGTCGACCTCATGGTACTGTTTTCAGGTCACTATTCTTCACAAACCCCGCTGGGACCTCCAGACTTTCATCCGTTCATGGATAATCATACAAACACAGCGCCGTTTTTATACTTCCGAATGTAGACCGACCCTATGCCTGAAAACTGTGGAACTAATTCTGGGTTGACTTCTGCCGAATGGCCGTGGAGACAAACTTCACCCCCTTGACGATCCCACTATATTCGTGAGATCTATGCACTTTTTGGACATATTGAGTGCTCAAATCCAAGCTATCTGGGGATATGTTGGACATATAGGTTAAATACTGTATTATATGAGTTATGTATTTTTATGTGGTTTTTGTTACATGTTCAACTTTAGAATATTTCTTGTACCTGGAGATAATTATGTTACTACATCCACTTAAGCCAATTATCTCCAGGAGAGATGGGAGGGTTCAGAAAGATGCACTTTATTCTGATTGGTTTATGTTCCCTGTATCACTGTGTTCCATCAGGTCCAGATGGGTGTGCACCTTGCCTAAAAATTTGTATATAAGCAATGCCTTTCTGCTCAATAAACCAGACTTCTTACCCTCAACTCTCAGCCTCGACTGTTGTAGGGAAATTCTAATCACTAGCTCTGCTCAGAGCTCCAGGAATACTCTACACTTCCAGGAATATCGATAGGTGCTGAAGTGGAACTTTTCATCGCTCTATAAGTTCGGGGACAAGGACATCCAGGCGGTCCAACCCTCAGTTAGCCTGGGGCAACCGTAACAGGGACTTACCTGACATCTCAGGGAGAACCCCTGCTGCCGATCCCACCCTCCTGGGCCATGTGATCACGAGGTCCTTGCGAGGCCAGCAAGGGGAGTGCCTGGAATGACAGGTAGTCCCCCTGTTGCCTGAAATAAAATTAAATAAAGTTAAAACAGTATAAAATAAAACAATATATATTTAAATCATATATATATATATATATATGTATATATAATATATATATGATCTAAGTATATTTAACAAAATATCAAATATACATGTAGAATTATATTAATTAAATATATGTATATATACCGTATATACTCGAGTATAAAACAAGTTTTCCTGCACATTTTTTGTGCTGAAAACCCCCTACTCGACTTATACTTGAGTCAATGTCTGTATTATGGCAACTTACATTGCCATAATACAGACCAGGACCGCTGGGCTGATGACAAGCCCGGCGGTCCTGTTGGGGGCTGGCAGCGAGCTGTAACTTACCTTTCCTGCAGCTCCTGTCAGCTCCCTTGTCCTCCGCTCCGTTCAGCTCCAGTGTAAGTCTTGCGATAGCCGCGGCTGTCAGAGCGTTGCCACGGGTTACCGTGGCAACGCTCCGTGCAGCACGCAGACCGCGAGACTTACAGTGGAGCTGAACGGAGAGAAGGAGAAGGGAGCTGACAGGAGCTGCTGTAAAGGTACCCCCTCCTGCACAGTACACACCACTGGACCACCAGGGACTACTATATCCCCCCTCCCTGGCCATGTATCAAGCAGGGAGGGGGGACAAAAGATATAAAATACAAATGTAAATAACATTATAATAAAATAAAAAAATAATAATATTAAAAAAAATAATTATATTACCGGTAACAAATAATAAAAAAAATATATATTAAAATAATAATAATAAAAAAATGAATTATAAGAATGACCACCCCCCACCAAGGTTACACACTCTGCATCACATACACAAACACACACTGCACTCATACACACACACACTGCGTTCATACACACACACACTGCATTCATACACACACACACTGCATCATATACACACACTGCATTCATACACACACAAACTGCATCATATACATACACTGCATTCATACACACACACTGCATTATATACACACACACTGCATTCATACACACACACTGCATTATGCACACACACACACACACACACACTGCATTCATACACACACACACACACACACTGCATTATAAACACACACACACTGCATTCATTATATACACACACTATAAATAAATATTCAATTTATATAATTTTTGGGGGATCTAATTTTATTTAGAAATTTACCAGTAGCTGCTGCATTTCCCACCCTAGTCTTATACTCGAGTCAATAAGTTTTCCCAGTTTTTTGGGTAAAATTAGGGGTCTCGACTTATATTCGGGTTGACTTATACTCGAGTATATAAGGTATATATATATATACACACACACAAAAAAATATATATATATATATATATATATATATATATATATATATACACAAAATATAAAATAAATAAATATATAAATATGTTAAAAATGAAAAAATATTCCCACATACTAACCGGTGACCACTCGCCAGACCACAGATACTTTGACCTTCCCAAATAGGCAACTTCTCCCATGTCACAGCAACCTTGACTCACAAATAGAGAGCTAGCCAACTCGACCGCAAGGTCCATGGACAATCACGGGAAGCACAGGCTCAAAACCATTACTCCACAAGGGGTACGCTTTGTCCTAACATAGACACTGCGTGTCTGAATTTCTGAACACCCATCTTTATGCAGAATGCTTTATATATTCGCTATGTGCAATGTGTACTAACCCACCTCTTCTTATTTCTGTAAAACAGTCACTTTTTTGAAAATGAAAAAAATAAAAGAATAAAAAAAACAATAAATAATAAAAAATATACATATGTGTAATTTCATTCTAACTGTATTTTAATATATATTACTATATATATATAATTATATATAAATAAAAATAATTTTACAAAATTATAGATATAATTAATATTAATATTAATTCTACACATATATTTAATTTGCTAGCACTATATTTAACCCTGTAACTTTCCAAGACACCATACAACCTGTACATGGGGGATACTGTTGTACTCGGGAGACTTCACTGAATACAAATATTAGTGTTTCAAAACAGTAAAATGTATTACAATGATGATATCATCAGTGAAAGTGAAGTTTTTTGAATTTTTCACACACAAACGGCACTTACACTGACGATATAATTCTTGTGATATGTTTTACGGATTTGAAACACTAATATTTGGGTTCAACAAAGTCTCCTGAGTATAATAGTACCACTCATGTACATGTTTTATGGTGTTTTCAAAAGTCACAGAGTCAAATATAAGGCTTGTGTTTCAGTTTTTTCACAATGAAATTCGCCAGATTGGTTACATTGCCTTTGAGACAGTATGGTAGCCCAGGAATGAGAATTACTCCCATGATGGCATACCATTTGCAAAAGTAGACTGTGATGGAAAAACTGGCACCCTGACTGGAAGCCTCCGCCAATCATTGCTTCCTAGTAGCCTGGAGTATGATAAGCACTGCACCGGACACCATAAGCACCGTAGCCCCTTAGCCACCGTAGCTTGGCTGGGGTGTCACTGTCCTCCACCCACCCTGGATCCAAGCCCAGGATCCAGCTTCCAGTGGGTGAACCTCTTCTACTACAGAGAGTCTAGCAGGTATAGCTGTGTAGCTCTTACAAGAGCTAGTGATTAAAGCCAGTATAGCAATCCGAAGCAGGTATAGCTGATATAGCTGGTATAGCTGTTCCCTACAATAACGAGATGAGTCTGTGTGATGAGAGTGAAGTGAACTGATTTTAATGGGACCACACTTGGCCTTTTATGACAATCCCCATGCAAGGGGCACTCCCCCCTGGACCCGAGAGTAGACCACAGTAAAAACAAATACACAATCACATTGGCTCTCAGATCCAGGACACTCCCATACAAACTAGGTCAATCCCTCCTCTGTACCTGGGAGATAATTGAGTCAAGTACTGTATTAACTCAACATTCTCCAAGCTTCAGGGTGGTCTCCGGTTCGTGCGGTTGTTTGATAACCGAACCATTTGGTCCCAATTGCACTAACAGAGTCTTAAAGTATTTTAGCAGGGGCCATAGTCCTGGGTCAGGAGGCTGGAAAGTAGGTTCCTCCAAGAATCCATGGTGAGGTTCTGTTCGCCACATAGATAACCCAAGGTATTGCAAATGGGGTGTTTCCAGTCTTTTTTAGTAGCCACAGTCACAAACACTCCCCAAAATTGACGTTCAAATTAGTTTTTTGCATTTTTCACACACAAACAAATATGAACGCTAACTTTGGCCAGTGTTTGTAACTATGTGGCTACTAAAAAAGACTGGACATACCCCATTTGCAATACCTTGGGTTATCTTCTTTTGCAAATGGTATGACATCATGGGGGTAATTCTTATTCATGGGCTACCATACGGTCTCAAAGAATTTCCTATTTCCTGCTCTGTTAATAGCTTGCTAGACCCTGCAGGAGCCTCCTGTATGTCATTAAAGTTCAATTTACTTTAGCAGGAGATAAAACATTTTACAGTAAGTCACATCTGATTGAAAATGAAACCATTTTTTTTCCATGCAGGCTGTGTCAGTCACCGCCAGGGTAGGTGTGGATAGGGCTGCCTAAACAGAGACTCCTAAATGGCAAAGAATTAAGCAGCGAGATGAGGAGCATGATCTATACACAAATACTTTACATTATGTTAAAGTTGTTTTTGGTGACTATAGTGTCCCTTTAACTCTGGTTCCTCAAACCCTCCTTTGTCACCTGTTTTAAACAACAGCTTCTCTGATGTGAGACTAGCTTAGGGTGAGTTTTGCAAGGGTTGCAAGGGTTAACTGCATGATTTGTGAGATTTGTTTGCCCCCCACTGTAGGCAGCTGTCTGCAAGACCCTGGTAAAAACATTGCACATAAAAATGAAATCAGTCCTTGCCGCTTGCTCAGCAAGATATCGAAGTCTCTGTTTAACCTCTAGAAAAAGAAAGGTTCATAGAAGCAGCAGGGGAAGAAGATCACACAAGTGGAAAGTGTTCTGTGAATGGCTTCTTGCTTTGGCGATAATTAGACATTACAAATTCCGTTATGCGTCTTATTTCTTTAGTTTGGTTCTAATTTATTCTCTCAGCATCAAGCTGTTGATATATAGAAATGATCATCATTTTGTT